GATAAATTATTCGAGGAACTCTCATTAGGCACGGCATTCAAGGAAAATACATTTCAATCCTCCGGTTTAGTTACTATAGTATCTACAAAGTTTTTAAAAAATTTACAATTACCTTCATGATTTAAATGAAGTCCTCCTCTGTTCAAATCAGCAAAGCTAATGTTATTATGTTGAATAAGTGTCCAGCCGTTACTTTGGCAGTGTTTTCTGAGTTGTTTGTTGACGGTTTTAACTTGATCATGTTAACTTGATCGGAAATGATAACTTTAGTTTCAGAGGTCTTTTCTATTTCACTTGCAAGACTAACAACCCTCTCGGCAACCGAGGTTGAACTGGAACTTTTCAGATCGTTAGTTCCACAATGGAGAACAATTCGATTTGGTGAACGGTCTATCGTTGGCTTGATATAATGTCTCATATCTTCAGATATAGCACCCGGAAATGATTTTACTACGACCCGGTTGCCGACCTCTTTGCCAAGCTTTGGCCCTTGAATATTCTTGATCATGGAGTCGCCTATCAGCACGGTTGTATGACGCTTTAGTTGTCGATCCTCCTTGTTATCGTGTTTCTTTGCAGTGGTATTCGACCCCTTTTGTTCAGCACTGAAGCTGTTAGCTGAAGCTTTCCAGCTCTCCTTCTGACGGGTTTCGGTTAACGTTTGGGTTACTTGACTTGCAGCATTGACTTGCAGCATTGACACTTCTTCGGTATGTTCTTCAACACTGAGACCAGCGAAGCGATTATTGATTTGAATATTCGGATTCACTTGGTGACAGGTCAGGTCATGTTGTTGCCTCTGTTGTTCCTCTGAATTAATTTGATCTGCTTGATTGACATTTGATTGTTCTTGATTTCGTTCGTTCTCCTTGTACAATAGTTTAATTGCCGTGATTAAGCTGGCTTTTTCATCCTCTGCTGATTTTGCTTTGTCTTGAAGATCTGCTAGAATACAGCTAAGATTGTTAATTCTTTTGGAAAACTCATCATTTAGTTTTTTTAGTTGAAGGTTTTCTTTTCTTAGGCTATCCAACTCACTATTTGTCTCTAGATTTTGGAGCTGATTTAGTACTTTCGAATGATCTTGTAGCGTTTTGTCAACTGTTGTTTTATTTGTTGTAAATTCTTTCACTAACAATCTAACTTGGCAATCGAGGGATTTGATATATGTCTCTAAAGCAGAATCTTCTTTGTTATGTATGCAAATATCGTCGTTCTCCTTGCCAATTTCAATATGGTCGTCTTCGTCCGGAATTTTAGTGTCTTCACTGACAACGGAATTTGCTAGTTTTTTAGATATCGAAGCCAGTGAAATTAACTTAGCTTCGATATTCTCCTTCTCACCACCGCTAACAGTTATAGTTTGTGTATTAGCATGCCATCGAATAGATATATCTTGAGTTTCGTCCCGGTACAGCTTTGCATCGCCTCCAGGCGAAGACCATTTACCGCCTGATAGGTTTAAAACATCTTCTACAAACTCTTGCAAAGCATCAAATGATGTCGTCCATATCAACCTTCTTTTATCGTTAAAAGATAGGCTATGAATTAAGCTTCCTTTATTATTATTTTCTTGATTCATATCTAATACCGTGCTCAAATTTCAGGAGCAGCCAGGAGACGTCCGTTCAGCTTGCGTTCATCAACTGTCAGGAGATGGAATCTTGTAGGGATGTTCTGAAGGATAACTTCGCTTTAGAAGATGTACCACAGCCGCCGTGCTGTATCACTCTACACTTGGGATTCAGACCTATTTGTTTGGTGCTTTTTTTTTTTTAGTGCTTCCATTCTTTTTAATTGCTTAGATAGCGATTGTAAGCAACTTGCTGCTTCGCCATCTTGCTCTTCATATACTAACGCCATAGAATAAAGATCCATATAGAAGGGCCACTTACGTCGGAAGCTTTGAAGTTTCTGTCCTCGCGCATGTCGCATTACGCATGTTGGCCGCCATTTTCCTAGCCAGTCAATGACATTTTTTGGCCAATAAACACGCTGTACTGGCTGGCTGCTCCGCCTTCTGGCCAGTAAACTGCATATTTTTGCATAAAAAAACGAGGACACGTTGCACCCCTGAGTGGCCCTTCTATATGGATCTTTATTCTATGCTAACGCCAAACAAAAAATTCGTAAAATCTTTCTTAACAAGCTTACCCTTACTAACCATATCGAAGATCTATTTTGTATAAATTGTAAATATTTACTAAATTGTAATTGTATTCATTACTAATTATTTTTTTCTCAAATGTAAATAGTCGTAATCCTTAATACTTTTTATGCCTGTAAATATCAAAATAGTGCGAGGGCCGTATGTTAGATAACTTTTACGGTTAATACGTTTTCCCTCGTGAAATAAAGTTTCTATTCTATTCTATTCTATTTTGGAAAAATGGGCTTTAAGAATTGAACTTGCGAGAAAATACAATCGTTCAATCGTTCGTATTAAATAAACGTGATCACAGATAAACACTGTGCTTCAAACAAGAATATATACGTAATTTGCTCTGAACCAGTCTGTTTATATTTTCTTTGATCTCGTGTCTTGTATTTTCTTGCGAAGGTGAGGGAAGTGTGGTTTTATAAACTCTTTGTTGTGATTGATGCCATATGAGCCCGTATCCCGCAAAATATATTAGCCAGAGATACTTATTTTACGTTAAAATGTTAAAATAAATCTATGTTTACACTCACAATAATTTAATATCTTCAAGGCCATCTAACCTTCGCTGTAGCATCTCTTTTTGTTGCTTGTGTTCTGCTGAATTTCTGAAATATCGTGCGTACCATTCTTCGCCGGCTAGCGGTTCATCGGCATAAAGGCATGCATCATAATCGCCTAAAATTTCGCTATCAACTGCTTCTAGAGTTCCAATTTCGTGACTAGTATCATTTGATTCATCCTCTATAATATATCCAGGAATATAATTGTATTCTGAGTCACATTGAGAACTATGAATGCTTTCCGAATCCGAGCTAATGCCTGACATGCTGGAAAATATATCAAATGTATAATGCGCGTCGAAATTAAGTCCCTTAAGCTACGTCACACCACGCTCGTCCCAGACTCTTGTTGATACGCGACAATTTTACGAAAATCGCTGTTTAGAGCCTCGTATCTCGCGAATGAAAAGAGAAAACCGAAAAATGTTAAAGAACCTATTAACTAACTTTTTGTCCTCTACCAAATATCAAAAAATAATTTTTGTGACATAAGCACTTTAATATCAATGCCCTTCGTTTCCTTTCATTTAGGGACCGGTCATAAAGTAACTGCTAGGGTGGGCTGGAGTGATTTGGGATGGGCCATGGAAAATCTTTGGGCAGTTTCGATGGGTCGCCAATTTTTTGGTGTGTCCACGGTTGGGCCACCACACAAAAACCCACGTTAATTATATATTACATAAAGATAATAATAATAAAAGTAGCTAAACAAAATTATCCAAATTATCAAATGCAAATGATGCATGCTATTGAAGCCAGTGCTTTGTTTTATACAACAACAAGAAGTAGTCGAATCACAGCAAGTACAACCAACTGGAGAGCAGCTCAGTATCGTAATTGGTGATGAATGTGTTGGTCAAGCTTGGTGGAATTATGTATGTCAATACAGTGCCGGTGTATATTTACAATGTTCATACTTGCAAGTTTTTTTTTGTTATAAAATTGTATTTTCCCAATTTAGATTGGGTGGGTGGGTCATGAAATAAATTTGGCAAGATTAGATGGGCTTTGAAATTTTTATCTACATCCTAAGATGGGTCACCAAACTTATTGGCAAAATTTGTGATTTACCTCCAGCCCACCCTAGCAGTTACTTTATGACCAGTCCCTTATGAGAGTCTTCGATTTTTTCCTATTTTCTCTATAATTTTATTATATTCGGGTTTCTTCCCTGACGGGAAACAAAAAATAAAAAAGGGATAGTCTCTGGTACGTACGCAATGATTCCATTTGGTAAAATGGTGCCTCAAACAAAGTGACATTATGACTGTGATATACCTCATTAATTAAAAATCCTCACATATAATTGCAACCCATTATATACTGTATTAAACTACTTACTGTCTATTAGATTAAGTTCACAAATCACAATAGTTTCTTGTGGGGTAAGGCCGGGATAACGCTCATTTTGGTAACGAAATAAAAAAAAAAGATTAGCAGGATTTGGGATTTGAAGACGCTGTTGGACGGGTAAATATTCAGGATTCTTAACTATTAAATATGCAGTACACTTCAGTGCAGTTGCTATTTATTTTTAGGTTTTAGTGTTAAGTTTTGTTTAGTTTCAATTGTTAGAGCTGTCGCTGTTGTTTCTTCTACAATTCCATTTATCGTCATCTATATATTTGAACAGAAAAGATAATTTAGTATTTTATTTCACATGCTTTTATTATATTTAGTGGGTTAACCATTAAATCATGTTAATACTGTACTGTAACAACGTGATTTGGAGCATAGAGAACCATTATTGGGCAAACTTCTTCGTTAAACTTTGGCGGAATAAATCCTCGTGCATTTCAAGGGTGTAAATCCTGGGGGAATGGGGTGTCTCCACTTTTTAGACAGTCATACTGTAGTATTATCTAGTATAAATTGTGCTTGTTGGTTGGCTTCA